TGGATCAAAGTGTAGATCTTGACGAGCTCTACCTTTTTCTCTAACGCACTAGAGTGAAATGATCATTGGATCTAGATGAAATCTAAGACAGAAGGTTAATTTTAGCGAGAGAGGCTCAAGAACAAGCTTTTTGAAAAGTTTTAGAGAGAGATATATGAAAAAGTGACTCAAAATATCATCTTCTTAGACTGTTATACGCGCAGTCCACTCGAGCGTGGAAAACCCCGCTCGAGTGTCAGACACAAGGTTCCGTTTGAGCGTGAAAGTTGGCGCTCGAGCGTGGAATGCACATTTCTAGAAGTCTTACGGACAAAGGTCCCCGCTCGAGTGTGGGAATGGATGCTCGAGCGTCCAATGCACTTTCCCAGCATTTCAGAACTGCAAAAGAAATGCTGAGATTTGACAAATCTCGCTCGAGCGCAAGAATGGCCACTCGAGCGGAGGAGCAAAATTTATGAAGCCTATTCGAGCCCGAGAATGCCTGCTCAAGTGGAAGAGCCAAAATCTGGGCAATAAGTGTTTAAAAAAGACCAGCAACCAACCTGCCGCAAACGCGCAACTACAATCGAAATAAACAAAATAAAGGAAAGACAAGGGAAAGAGATATGAAGACCATTCAAACCAAACCAACCCGAGTCCGGAATGCAATAAGTAACGGGTCAAAACCGGAACTGCTATAACCTCCCTCGTTAAAGAATTTCGTCCCCGAAATTACAAATCAAGTTCAGCATCAAAATTAAACCATTCACAATAACATTATTCTCACAAATTCAATACCATGTCCCATTCTTCGATTATCCATCCTCATTGACTCAATACACAAGTCCCATATATAAAAATGAAATTTACAATTTCCTCAAAACATATACAATGTTTAAACCAGGGTCCAAGTTCTCAAATTTTTACATGGCATATACAATGCTTTCCAAAAGTGCTACAACACCCACAACATTCCATAATTCTCAAAACATGTACAATACTTATGTTGAATACATGTTTCCAAAATGCCCATAACATATACAATGTCTTCGTAAGTCAAAACATATACAATGCTTATATTTCTCATTAACACAATTAAAACCTCAATACATGTTCAGGCACCAACAAACAAGCCCGGAGAATTCTCTCGGACTTCCAATTCTCGTTCCCAAGTTGCTTCCTCGACCCCGTGATGTTTCCACAAAATTTTAACTAAAGGAATTGTCTTGCCTCGCAAGACTTTGTCCCTCCTATCCAAGACTCTCGTCGGTCTCTCCTCATACAAGGCATCCTCATCTACCTCCAAGTCAGTCCAATCCAACATGTGCGATGGATCCAGTTCATACTTCCGAAACATACTGATATGAAACATGTCATGAACTCCAGAAAGTTGTGGCGGCAATGCCAAATGATAAACAAAAACACATGGTCTCCCACCTCATGTTGTTTTGGTCATGCATGCCTTGCTTTGTATAGCTATAGTGCATTCTAGCTTGTTAGCTTTGTGTGTCAAGTCCACTAGCATGCTTTACTTGGCCTATTTGAATGATTTGGCATCATTTCA